TTCATCAAGTGTTTACAACATTGTAGTTCCACTTCACATAAATTACATATCTTTTCTCCATCCTCACAACAACCTGAGAGGTAGTATCTGATTTTGCCACTTCCCATTTGAAGAAATATAAGGCCTAGAGATAGAAACTACTGAGTTATCAGAAAAGTCATGACGTAGTTTCCTGTTTTTCTATGCAGAAATGCATTGACTTTTCCAACAATCCAATAACTTTTCCAAGTTGACACAGCTAATACAAGTACATGAACCCAAGGCCACCTGACCCCAAAAATCTATCCTTTAACCCATTATAACATATACCCTGGATTTTCTATTTTTCAATATATCTGTCATTAAATTTAAACAAACTTTAATTATGGAGCTGGTAAGAAGAAATAGTAGACCCTCCCTCTCTCTGCTCTTAAAGAACTTTTAATTTAGAAACAGAAGTGAGATAAACCCAAGTAAATGAAAAATGATAAAAATAGAGTGGATATGATCGAGTCTCAAGAGGACTACCATCTAAGTCCATTCTGCTATTCAATCTGCATTTACTGAGCTGTTACATGCTGCCTGCTGCCCTCCCTGGTACACTTGTGACCACTACGCATTCCAATCATGTCAAACTACTGATAGATAGTTCCTGAACACACCACGCTGTTTTTTTTATTATTTAATTTTTTAAAGAATTATTTTATTTAACTTTATTTATTTACTTATTTTAATTTGACCAGAGAGCAAAAGAGTGAGGGAGAGGAGAAGTGAGAAGGCAAGCCACCAGATCTGGGATGCTAACTATGGTCGACCATGTGGGAATCCAGTACCCTTAACCACCACACCACCTGCCAGCCCTGACACCAGGCTGTTTTTTGCCTCTATGCTTTGGCACATGGAATTCCTCTACCTGTGATATCCTTATTGCCAGTATCATCTTCATAAACTCCTGTTTTTTCTTTAAAATACTGATTAAGGATCACTCTCTCTGGCCCTTCCATAATCATTCCTCACAGAGCATATCTTCTAAAAATATAAATGTAGATCTTGTCACAATCCTGCTTAAGATTCTCCAGAAGTATCCAGATGCTGTGATCCAGCAGTAACCCAACTATCCTATTAGAGTGAAACCACACTGCCAACCGTGGGTTTGAGTTCCCAGGGTTGGCTAGTGAAGACACAGCAGGGGCATGCATGGGCATCCATGATCCCAAGTTGCCCACATGAATGTTTGTTAAGTCTGGGGTGGTGGTTGGGAAGTTGTGTTCTGGAGACAGACAGGCTGGCCCTGGTAGTGCTGGTCTAGTTGCATCATGCTGGATTATGTAACCCGATTCTCTGCTCAGAGTCCACAAACCACCAACCTCATGAGGTGATTGTGTCTGGGAGTTAAACTCCATTTATTCAGCACTTTCCAAAGACAATGTCTGTGCCTTATGCCATGTTCATATGAAGATAAACTGCTCAATAAATAGACCCTATAGGTGATTGTTTTAAAGGAAGAATAGCTGAAGACATGAAAGAAGAGAAACTCTTAGTAAATCCACTTCTCCAACCACCACTGCCCTTGTGGAGGACAGGCTCTGTTGTGTCCCCTGAAGTCCCACAAGTTATTGAAATGCCTTATGCTGAAGTCACCTGAATGTTTGAGGTCTTAAGCTCCACAGGGCACTAGGCTTCAAAACATTCCTTTTCTTTATTCTTCCCCCACAGTGATTCAGTTTAGCACACTGGGATTTCCTGCCCACTTTCACTTCCCCACATATCATTATGAGGAGACTGTTTTGTTACTGATCAATCATATCAGATATGTTTCAGTCTTAATTATCCAAAATGCACACCCTCAGGAAAGAGCACTATAGTTGAAAGTAATTTAAAAACTAGCCTTAAGTGGTTTTGTCTTACATGCACAAAGGCACAGAAACATGCTGTTATTTTTATTCAGTAAAAAAAATAAAAAATAAAAAGAACACTTACTGAATAAACTTTTTTTTAAAGAGATATTTTTGCTATAGGGTGCGTAGTCTCACTGGAGACGCAGAGAGAGACACAGAGAGAACAAGTGAGAAATCACTCCTCTTGGTGGGGTGGTGGCTATACTGCAATCCCTTTTCTTCTTGGGATTTTTTTCTTTCTCTCTCTTTTTCTTTTTTTTGGGGGGGGAGGGGGGAGATCTTTACGATAAGGTGCATGCCCCTGCTGGAGAGAGAGCAAGAGACAAACAGTGAAAGGAAAAGTGAGAAATCACCCCCCAGGGAGTATTGCTACACCACAATCTCTTCTCTCCCATTCTCTCCCTGGGATCTTGGGCACACACGTGCCTGGCATGATTTTCAAGCCACCGAATCTGGAACTCGAACCACAGCTGACCATGTGCGAGTCCAGGAAAGTTACCATTATGCCATCTGCTGGCCCCCTCCTCTTGGGATTTTAGGCATGCATGTACACATGCCCTGTTTGAGTTTCAAGTCACTGGATCCAGAACTTGAACAGTGGTCAACCATGTGGGAGTCCAACACTATGACCACTACGCCATCTACTGGCCTCCAAACAACCTTTTGAAAACCATCATTCTTTTTGTTAAGTAGAAAACAATCCAAAGAGTTTTTGGGAACATCATCCTAATGCAGATAAATGTCTGTGCCACGTGCTTCATAAGTATTCACGTAAACAATGTTGAAGGCCCGGCCACAGTAGTGTAAGCCATACACTTACTGGTTGTCAGAAAAGTCATGACACAATTTTCGTAGAAAAACAGAAAAATATGTCATGACTTTTCTAATGACCCAATACATAAAGTCTCCTTCATGATGCATGCAACATATATTTTTTTCAACAAAGCATTTTACATTTTTTATCTGATAAATGTTTCTTCCTTTTGTACCTCACGGTCCACCACCCACTGTCTACTGTCCTAATACTACTAGTATCCTAATGCTTTTAATCATTTTCATACTCTTAACATTTGTATAGCACTTGATATTATTAATAAGAACTATAGTTGCCTTTGCTTAGCTACGGTGATGTTACTGTTACTGTTGTTATTATTTTGATGAGCGCCTTAGGAAAGGCATCTGTTTCTGCTTCCATAGGATTAACCACTTCCCATGGTCCAATAGGTCCTAGACACCAGTTGCGTGATTTGCCTAGCCCTAGAAGGCACTTGAGTTTCCCACTCTGCATAAAGTAGAAATACCAAAACCTACAAAAACATATGAAAGCATGTTCCCAAGAACTAGGCATGAAAGAGGTCATCCAGAAGATTCAAAATAGACTTTATATTAGCTTGTAAAGACTATCATCAGAACAAAAACACAAAATCTAACAGTTCAAGACAGAAAATGGTAGACTTCTCAGAAGCCACCCACAGACTCTCATCTGAAAACACGATGCTGCCGGAATATTTTCTACCAAAACAAACAGCCTCTCCTTTCCTTATGTGCCTGCGTCAGAGATTTCCTGAGTCAGGACTACCCTCTGACACTTCTTAATGGGAGCAAGGCCATATTTACAGCTAATGAATAAAATATTAGCCAACTCTGCTAAGTACTGACAGAGACCCACTACTGATTGCTACCCGGGGAATAACCTGCTTTGCTCACACAAATAAGAGCTGCTTATTCAGGAGGGAAGGGAGCCAGCTTGGTTTGCATGGAAGAGTGATGACAAAGAATACTCTCCAAAGAGCCATTTCGCTGCTGGAAACTAAGGAGCTATTAATATTTCAGAGATAACAAGGGATGGAGAGGCCAAGGGTTAAAGAAACTAAGATGCACTGAGTGCCTTCGGTGTGCTCCATGCTTGATACAGTATATCTTTCTTAGTCTTCATGCCAGCCCACAGAAATACTATTATTATTGTGTCCATTTTACAGAGGTGCAATGTCAAAGCTTTGAGCTTTCAATGACTTCTCTAAAGACTGGAGGAAGGGTTTGAACATGTGCTAACCTGACTCCAGACCTTGTTCTTCTTCCATTACCCAAGGCTGCTCTTCATATTCAATACATAATATGAAGAAGCCCAGAAATGGAAGATGGGCGTTGTAGGTGCACTAAATCTTAACAAGACAATTAAATTATGTGCCCGTATAAACAAAGCTAGAACATATTAGAACACAAAGACACATGTTTGATGACTAACGGTAGAAAATAGTGAGATTTTTAACAGAGAAAAATGTAGTTCTTCGAGGTTTTCAAAACTGTCAGGTGGGGTCGGCAGGTGGTATGATGGTTAAGGGCCCTGGACGCCTGTGATTCAAGTCCCAAACCTGGTGGCTTGCTTTCTCCTTTTCTCTCTCTCTGTTTTTCTCTGGTTAAATTTTAAAATAATAATAATGAATACAGTTAAATAAGATTTAAAAAAATTGTCAGGTAAAAAAGAAGTGAAAGGTAATAGAAAACAATCCCAAAGAGTAGATCTTGGAAAGATGGTTGGAAATTTGGAGTAGGGAGGGTTCTTTTTTTTCCCCCCTTACAGTTCAACTAAAGACTTTAAAATAAGTTCATATATAAGTAAATAAGCAACCAAAGGAGGAAATCTGTTTAGAGTGGCCAGCTAAGTGCATGATACAAAGGTCTCAACAGCTATTATCCAACTGAGTGAATTAGTGAACACTTCTAAGACAAACTTCTTAGAATAAGTGCACTAAACATAGAACATCCTTTATCCCATCACCAATTCCTACCACCACAGCAGCTGCCCTGAACATTCTTTAGCTTCTAATTTGATTTATGCCTATGGAAGTTGATGGTTCAATTTACTGCCCCCAGCTGTGTAATAAAAAGCAAAGGAACCTCCGAGAGCCATCCTTGCAATGGAAAGTCAGCACAGCAATCAGCACAGCAGTTAAATGCAGTTTGTTTAATCTTTCATTGGAAACAAAGGTTGCAGGTTTTTGCTTCTAAATCTGCTTTTCCAGCAAAAACAGATACTCAGCTTGTGCTTCTTACCTGTGCTTGGCAGACTAAGTAGCCTTGCAGAGGGCTACATTCCTGCCCAGTTGAGGAACGTGTACTCACCTCTCTGGAGACGGGTAGCTCTCTCTCGCAGTTGCTGCAACAGGAACAGGGAGAATGAAAAGGAGGCATTGGCAGCAGTCTGATTAAAGTGGATCATACTTAGGTGACAACCTGGTCCTGAGATAAAGTGTGGTATGGCCACTTCGCCTGTGCCCCAAACATCCCTCACCCCACTCCAGCACCCAGCAGACCACCTGTCCCTGAACTGCACCCACTTACTGGTATTTACATTAAGTGAGAAATCACCCCCCAGGGGGGATGGCCACGCCGCGATCCCTTCTCCTCCATTCTCCTCTCGGGATCTTGGGCACACATGCACATGCGCCCGGCATGAGTTTAAGCCACTGAGTCCAGGACTCAAACCATGGTCGACTACTTGGGAGTCCAGCGACATAGCCATTACACTAACTGCTGGTCCCACAATTAGCTTTCTTTTATATAGAAGTGGCCATATTACTAAAGTATACTTGCAAGGGCTCTACAGAATTTTCTTTTAGGCTGGGACTAAGATGATTCGTAGCAGTAGTTCTCAAAGCCAGCAGCACCAGCAAGCATCCCCTGGAAACTTATTAAAAGGCTCATTTTCAGTCTCTGCATCAGATCTACTGAATCGAAAACTCTGAAGAAGGCATCCAGCAGCCCGTGTTTTAACAAGTCCTTTAGGTGATTCTCATGCTTGCTCAAGTTTAAGACCCACTGAGTTAGAGAAATGCAACCATGAGCTGGCCGAAAGCAGTCAAATGAACAGCCAGAGACTGCATTAGCTCTCTTGGTATTGCCATCTGCTGGTGTTGATGGCCAGAGTTAAACAAAGACGAGCACACACTTTGTATCACCCCGAGTGGATGCTCGCCTCATGTTTCCTGAGAGTAAACGTTAGCGAAGGCACATAAAACGTCCACAAGATCAGACTGTGAGGGGAGTGGTGAGGAATGCAAAGGTGTTCTTTAAACAGCAGGGGAAGACATAAAAACAGCCCAGAGAAATGGCTTCTAAGGATGCTTCAGTTTCTGGAAAGGATCAGAGAGGGTGGGATTAATTACTGAAGGCAGATCACAGCGACCCGAGGGAACCTCCATAAGGATCAGAGGTCAAGTATGTACTGTCCTTCCTCTTCGCTCTCCCACTTCTACACCGATTGTGTTGACAACACAGAGTTTACAGGAAATACAAAGGTTCACTGCCTCCCTGCTCTACGACTTTTCATGTTCTTCCTCTTGGACAGATTCCCAGTGATCAAACGCAATGCTCTCAGGGGAGGCGAGCTGGCCCAGGAGCGATAAGGGGCCAATTCCCATAGATTTGTCATTTCACGGGCAAGCTGCCACAGCCTCTGCATGAAAGCAAGTAGTGATGGACGTCCAGCCCCACGGAAAAGCAGTAGCAGCAGCAGCAGCAGCTGCATTGTCACCTGAGATGATACAGGGAGGAGGATGACAGGAGGGATACAGACACTGGAGCCCTGACTCCCAGCTGGCCGTATGTGGTGGGGCTCTGTGCATTTCCTTACCTCTCCTGTGGGTCTCAGCAAGAGCAGCCTGCTGTTCCCGGAAGGCCTGGAGGTTCACAGCAGGAGGCTTTGAAGGCTTTGGGGGAGGAGGACCCAGAGACTCAATGGAAGGCATTGGCTTTGTCTTGGGAAGTTGGTGATGCCTGACATCTGATTGTTTCTCTGAGCATGGAAAATAAAAAGTGCAGGTTATTATGATTTTCATTTTATGGCTTGCCGGATGAAATGAACTGGTTTTCTTGCTCAGACTCATTCTCCGTCAATCTATTTACCCACCAGCCAGACTACACTGATGGAAACACAAATCTGATCATGTCACCCATCTTGCTGCCCCTAAGATTCCTTAGCATGACCTTTGTTCCCTTCATTCTCTGCCTCATTGATACCACGTGGCCCCTGCCTCTGTTTCTCCAGACTCTTTTCTCATCACACGGGATCATCTCACTTTTCGCATCTTAAGGCCAAGCATCTTCCACTCACATCACCAGCTTCTTGGTTCTCCAGATTCCATTTTTTTTAAAAAAAAAAAAAGATTTTATTTTTGCTATATGACACATCGGAGAGATGGAAAGCAAGAAATCACCCCCCCACACACAAGGGGAATAAGCACCCTGCAATCCCTTCCCCTCCAGTTTCCTCTCAGGATTTTGGGTATGCACACACATGCACATGCACCCAGCATGGGTTTGAAGTCACTGGGTCTGGGACCCAAATCATGGTCAATTATGTGGGAGTCCAGTGACGTAACCATTATGCCATCACAAAGTTCCTCTCTTCTAAGGCTTTAATCATGTCACAATGTCAAAAATGTCCATTTTTTTTCAAATTAGGGAAAAAAAGTAGTAAAAATGAATGATCACTTACTAAACACATGTCAACTTGTTAACCAGAGACTGTGTTAAGTAACTTTCATAGGCTATCCCATTTAACTCTTTTCACAGCTCCACCTGCAGGTAATCTATCTTTCTTTCCTTTCTCTCACTCATCTTCCTTCCCATTCATCTTTTCTCAACCACCCTTCCTTCCTGTTCTTTTATCAATAACTATTTATTTATTAGATTCTAAATATCATTCCCAACTCTATCCCCAGCTCCTAAGACAAGAACAGATATAGTCCTGCTTTCAGGAATTTTCATTCTAATACGTGGAGATGGATGATAAATAAACATTTATAGAGATATATTACTTCTATGAAGGCCTTGCTAATCTAGTAGAAATAAAGAAAATTTTCTAGAGAAGGTGTCATTGAAGCAGAAACTTGAAAGAGTTAGTCAAAGTTTGCCACGAGAGAGAATAATTTAATATGGTATATGAATGAACTAGAGCAGGATGCTGTGAGTGTAAACTGTTGATGGTGAGGCAGTGCCTTTTACACAGAGACGTTTCAGAGGTTGATCTTGGACAGAGTCATTTGAACTTCTCTATAGATGCAGCAATTCAAAAGTCAAATAAAAGGGTTTTCTAAGAAGTAGCAGCAAGTACAAAGGTCCTGAGGTATAACAAAGTATATTTTAAGAACAGCAAGACATCTGGTATACTGACTATGGGCTACTGAGCTAGGTAAAGGAAGAGATAAGTCAGAGACATAGCAAGGACTAGAACACAGGGTCATGAAGACTGTGAAATAAGTCATTTAGATTCTATTCTAACCACACAGGGTTATAAGCAGGAGTTCATCATTTATCCATCCATCCATCCAATCAGTCTTCCAGGGAATACTTTTTGAGGGCTTACTCAAAGTTGGCCTTATTCTTCTAATCCTAAAGAAGACAGTGTTTATCCTCTTATGACATTGTTGTTGCCATAGGGTATGTGCACTCACTGGAGAGAAATGGAGAGACAGACAGACAGACAGACAGAAAAAGAGAGAAATTATCCCCTGACTCTCCCAACATGATGGCCTTGCTACAATCCCTTCTCTGTTCTCCCCCCAGGATTTTGGGAGTGCATGCACCTGCACCCAGTGTACTTTCCAAGCTGCTGGGTCTAGTATTGGAATTGTGCAGTTGGCCAAGTGAGATTCAGCTGCTTTAACCATCATGCCACCTGGCTGTCCTGGCTTATATCTTACTGAAGTAAAGAAACACATAATAAAAATCAGGTAGGAATAAGCAATGCGAAGAAAACTACATGAAAAAATAGAGAGCATGGGACCAGCAGTTAGCATAATGGCTATGTCGCTGGACTCCCACGTAGTTGACCACGGTTCGAGTCCCGGACCCGGCGGCTTAAACTCACGCTGGGCGCGTGTGTGGGCATGCCCAAGATCCTGAGAGGAGAATGGAGGAGAAGGGATTGTGGCATGGCCATCCCTCCTGGGGGGTGATTTCTCGCTTTCTATCTCTCTGCCTTTCTCTGTCTGTCTGGCGAGCGCATGCGCCCCATACCTCTCCAAAAAAAAAAAAAAAAAAAGAAAGAAAGAAAGAAAAAATAGAGAGCAAAGGGAGCGAGTGAGTTATTTTAGATAGCAATCAATCAGCAAGGTCCCCACTCAGAGCAGGTAACACTTGAGTAGAGATCTTGATAAAGTGAAGGAAAAAGACATCAAAACCTGGTGGAAGTGTGTTCCTGGCAGAAGGATCAACACGTACAAGGATCAAGACGTGGGGAGGAGCTAGCTTGATCTGTCTAAGGAATGGCAAGGGTATGTGGCCAGAAGAGAATAAGTAGGCAAGGATCAAATTGCATGATCCACTGTAAGGTAGTTGTAGTAGTTGACTTTACACAGGAAAGTGATGTGATTTATATATGCTTCAGAGCATCACTCTGCCTGCTAAGAGGAACAGAGTATAAGGGGACGAGAATGTGGAAGTTGGAAGACGAGTTGGGCTGTTGCAGTGGTACAGGTGACAGATGCTGGAGGGGTGGACAAAGACAGAGAGAGATAGAAATGGAGATATCCAAACATACTTTGGTGGGAGAACCAAGACCGTACTGATGAATTTAATACAAAGGATGAGGGAGGGGAAGAACAGAATATGCCCCTATATTTTTGGCCTGAGAAACCAGGAGGATAATTTGTGCTGCGATACATTTTTGCATAGAAAGACAGAAAAATATGTCATGACTTTTTCAATGACCCAGTAGATGGGATGGTGGAGATTAGGAAGAAAACAACAATCAAACAAATAAAATATTTAGTAGACACAACAAATGAAAAGTTATCTGTTGATGATGATGTACATGGTATGTCTTTGACTTGACTAATATGCACTGTATTCATGCTGGAAAAATCATATTGTACATGGTAAAAATAGTTGTTGAACTTTATATGTGTGTGTATGTATGTGTGTGTGTGTATGTGTGTGTGTGTATATATATATATATATATATATATATATGGAACTTAAAGCAAAGGTTTCCCAGGTCACATATATGACCACTTAAGTCAGTAGGGTTTCAACTGGAAAAATGCCATGATCCTTCTCCCTTGTTTTACGGGGATACATTTCTTACCTGGAGCCTGGCTGGCAAGTTCATACTCATAAATAGGCTGGCAGATGCTGCCTGTTGGGCTCCTGTCAGGACTAGGGCTTTCCTCACTCTTTTTGCCATGTTGAGAAAGTACAAAAGCTGGATCTTCAGAGGCAGCAAACAATTTTCTTTGGCTCAGGTGTCTTTGGGAAGGAAGAGTCTGTGCTTCTCTTCTTTGCAGCTTTTTCCGTGACTCCTCTTGAGTAAGCCCCATGCCTTTATTCCCTTTCAGGTGGAAAGCCTTACTTCCACAATTGGCAAGAAGAAGAGCTGATGACATCTCACTTTTCTGTGAGGAAACCTTCTCCCAGTTCCAGAGCTTGTCTCTGAAGCTACTGGCCATGATTTCTTTCTCATTATCTGTTATCTCAGCATTTGAGTGAGTCCCATCTAGCAGCAGAGAAGCTTTGCATGAATCTACTACAGAACACACAGTAGACTTTTCCAGAGGTCCTGGGGAATTAGAATATTTCTGAATCTCACTCCAGTGGGCCAGTTTCATAGTCTGGGATTTAAGAGGCTCAGAATTCCCACTGGAACAAAATGTTAGGGACTGATTTTGCTTGAATGAGAGAGGTTTCCCACTGGCCAAAATTCCAGTTGGCCGAGTGCTTCCAGTGTCATCTTTTTGAGAACCACCTGCTGGGAATTCAATAGGTCTTGGAAGAAGTGGGGCATCAAGCTTTTGGAATTTGGCTCGAAGTTCCTTGAAGTTTCTTATCCCTTCCTAAAGCATAAATGAAAACCAAAGTGTCTTATTATTCCAGAAAAAAAGTCAATGTGATTCACCATAAATTAAGGGGCTCTAACTGCCGATGTAATATAATTGCTTACTTATTGGGTAAAATTAACCAGCAATGCTGTTATGAAACTAAGATGGAATGAAAATGGTCTCACCCTCTTTGAATTATTTTAGGTCAACCTCAAGTCAACAGGCTTTACATTTGAAAAAAAAAAAAAAAAGAACACTATGATTTTCTCATAGCATATAAGGAAGACTTAAGAATATTAACTCTCATGGATACACCCCTTCATAAAAACTTTTGGTGGCTCCCCATCATCTATAAAAATAAATTCAAACTGTTTAGTACTGCAAGGTTCTTTATAAATTGGTCTCAACGTACTCAAAAGATGATGGAATTATGATCTCCAGCCACAGTCCAACACAACTACCCTTAAACCAAACAAGCTGTTGGGGGCCAGCAGGTGGTATGATGATTAAAGCACTGGACTCCCACATGGCTGACCATAGTTCGAGTTTCAAACCCAGTGGCTTGAAACTCACACCAGGCATATGTGTGTACATGCCCAAGATACCAAGAGGAATATGGAGGAAAAGGGATTGTGGCATGGCTATCTCTCCTGGGGGGTGACTTCTCACTTTTCCTCTCTCTGTTATCTCTGTTTCCCTCCTCTCTGGCAAGTACACACATCCCATACCCAAAATCTAGAAAAAAATAAAAACACAAATAAGCTGTTTAGAATTTCCCTAGAAATTTCTCCCTGTACTCTCCACCACTCTGATTTTGCTTTGTGCTTTTGCTTCACAAAATGCACTGCCCACCTCCTTGTTAACTGCTTCCTTGCACTTCAATACCTATCTCTCATCAGATTTTCCTGTGGAACAATAGGCTGAACTAATGCTTTCCCTGTTTCCTTGTTGCTTCCATAGCTCTTTGTATCTTCGCTATTAAACTTAACACAGTGGAGTGGAAAAAAGAACAAACTTTGTAACTAGACAAGACCATGGTTGAATTCTGATTCTACTCTTTACCATCTAGGCTAACATTCTGGGATATTTGATCTCATCTCTTAACGTTCATCTCTTAACGTCTCATAATAAAAACAAGTCATCAAGTGGTAGAAGAATTAGGACTTCTGCATATAAAGTGTCCATGACATTGCTTGACACATAGTAGGCCCATCAGAAATAAAAGCTACTTACAAAATGTTAAATGACCCTCTTGTATTTTTAATTCTGCTGAGAGAGTATGCTCTTGTTTCTAAATTCATCTCAAAATCAGTATATAAAATGGTGGTAGTAATGACAGCCCACTCTAGGGGAGAGGACCGGGTAGGCTCAGCATTATATATATAGTAAGTAGATTGGTGCTTCAGCTAGGGAGTTAGGCTTGACTCTTCCAAGCACTTCCTATTGCTCCCCTTTTCTCCCACAAGACCTTGTGTTGAGTTTTGTAATTGCATTTTGTCATCATTTACTTTCTCAGGAGGTAGGAGAACATCTAATGAGGCCCTTTCAAAAGTGAAAGTCATTACCCTTTCCTAATCACCTTAAACGTTCTTAATTCCATGGATACAGACCATCTCCATGGTAGTGACTTCTGATTTTGCCAGCTGAGCGATTGTTGGGTGATGTTTTTCGCTGTGTTTACAGTTGACTCACACCTGCCCTCTGAATATTTAGGAAGGAGAGAGATTGAGCCAGAAACATGAGGCAGGTGTCTGGGAGCTTGCTTATATATTCTCTTCTGTCCTCTCTCTCTCTCTCTCTCTCTCTCTCTCACACACACACACACACACACACACACACACACCATGCATACAATTATAGCTCTTTCTACAAATTCCCAAGGATTGGGCTGGCCCCACAGCTTAGAAGTTAAGGGAACTAGATCCCATATGGCTGACCACACAGCTCAAATCTTGGCCAGGAGCCTTGAAAAATATGCCAGGCATGTGTGTATCTGTGCTCCAAATCCCAACAGGATGGAAAAATGGAGAAGAAAGGATTGTGGCATGACCACACCCTATTGGAGGTTGCTTTCTCTCTCTTTCTGTCTCTCTGGCAAGCACATACACCCTCAACCTCTGGCATTAAAAAAAAAATCACCGAGTATCAATTTCTTATACTTCAACCTGCAGACAGTATAATTCTATTATACTTTCTCTCTCCTGATGTTGCAGAAGCCAGCATTGGGCCTATAATCAGGAAATCTGGTAGTAAAATACATGTGACATAGTGTATACCACCTTGACAATTTTTAAATGTACAGTTTAGTAGTGCTCAGTAGAATCATATTGTTGTACAACCCATTTCCAGAACTCTCTACACCTTGCAAAATGCTATAAGCATGAAACAACAGCTCTGCCTCCTACCCTCCTAGTCTACTTTCTGTCTCTCTACATTCTACTGTTTTATGTATCTCATATAAGGAGAATCATAGAGTATGTGTCTTTTTGTGACTGGCTTATTTTACTTAGTACAATGACCTCAAAATTTAGCCACGTTACAACGTGTTTTAGAATTTCCTTCCTTTCCAGGGCTGAATAATATTTATTGTACATATAGAGCATATTATTTATTCAGCCACCTGCCAAGGGACACTTGGGTTGCTTCTGTTTAGCAATTATGAATGACGCTGTTATGAACATAAATGTACAAATATCTCTTTGAGACCCTTTCCATCCTTCTGGGTATGTTCCCAGAAGTGGGATTGCTAGATCATATGGCAGTCCTATTTTTAATTTTATGAGGAACCTCCATCCTGTTTTCCATAGCAACTACACTATTTTCCATTCCCACCAAAAGTAGACAGGCTTCTCAACTTGTTCACATCCTTGCCAATATCTTTTAATTTTTTAAATAGTAGCCATCCTAAAGGGAGTGAGTTTATCAGTGGTTAATATTTGTAAAGTGTAATATGGTTATTTTAGCTCTTTTCTATCCAAAGTGACATGAATTACATACAATTTTATTGCTCGGTAGATTTTATGGGTGTAAGCTTGATTAGGCAAGGCCCTAGTAGAAAGGAGAATTATGAATTTGATAGCTTCCAAACCAAGACCTGATGCAAAGATCATTAATTCAGGAGAGAGCAAACTTGGTGATTATACCTTGCTCCTTCCTCTTTCAGTAAATGTTCATTAAAAGTCTACAATCGAGGCAAAACATGTCTTAGATGGACTAATGTTCTGCTCTTAAGTGTGGAATTTTAATATTAGGTAGACAGAAAAGTGAGTACACAAAAGACATTAGAAACAAAAGCTAAATGGAGAATTAAATAGATGATGCAATAGTGACAGGGTGCCCACCACTGATTTTCAGAGGCATGGTAGAAAAGTCATTTTCCCCCCTCTGGTGTAGTTCTATACCAAATTAAGGATTGGGCTGGGTGATCTCCAATGTTCCTTCCAGCACAAATATTTAGATTTTATTTTTTTTGCTATAGATGAGGAATGGATACAATACATTTTACTTCTTATTATTCATCATCCATAAGTGATGATCCATAGGAGTTCAGGCCTGAGAGTACAAGGCACACTGTGTGAGGATAGGTTTGGGAGATGACCAAGGGGCACTTCCAGTTAAAACCATGCTCCATTTTCCTGATGCCTCAGCTGGTTAGTCTACACATCCTATGATCTAAAGTCCTAGGTGGCCCATGGGCCTGCCCCTTATTCGTGCTATTTCCATGGCTTTCAAGTCTTAGAATAACTTCTTCCTGGTCTCTCTGCTTGCACACTGAGACTCTCTAATCCATCACTTACCCAGCTAGAAGTTAAGGGAACTAGATCCCATATGGCTGACCACACAGCTCAAATCTTGGCCAGGAGCCTTGAAAAATATGCCAGGCATGTGTGTATCTGTGCTCCAAATCCCAACAGGACGGAAAAATGGAGAAGAAAGGATTGTGGCATGACCACACCCTATTGGAGGTTGCTTTCTCTCTCTTTCTGTCTCTCTGGCAAGCACATACACCCTCAACCTCTGGCATTAAAAAAAAAATCACCGAGTATCAATTTCTTATACTTCAACCTGCAGACAGTATAATTCTATTATACTTTCTCTCTCCTGATGTTGCAGAAGCCAGCATTGGGCCTATAATCAGGAAATCTGGTAGTAAAATACATGTGACATAGTGTATACCACCTTGACAATTTTTAAATGTACAGTTTAGTAGTGCTCAGTAGAATCATATTGTTGTACAACCCATTTCCAGAACTCTCTACACCTTGCAAAATGCTATAAGCATGAAACAACAGCTCTGCCTCCTACCCTCCTAGTCTACTTTCTGTCTCTCTACATTCTACTGTTTTATGTATCTCATATAAGGAGAATCATAGAGTATGTGTCTTTTTGTGACTGGCTTATTTTACTTAGTACAATGACCTCAAAATTTAGCCACGTTACAACGTGTTTTAGAATTTCCTTCCTTTCCAGGGCTGAATAATATTTATTGTACATATAGAGCATATTATTTATTCAGCCACCTGCCAAGGGACACTTGGGTTGCTTCTGTTTAGCAATTATGAATGACGCTGTTATGAACATAAATGTACAAATATCTCTTTGAGACCCTTTCCATCCTTCTGGGTATGTTCCCAGAAGTGGGATTGCTAGATCATATGGCAGTCCTATTTTTAATTTTATGAGGAACCTCCATCCTGTTTTCCATAGCAACTACACTATTTTCCATTCCCACCAAAAGTAGACAGGCTTCTCAACTTGTTCACATCCTTGCCAATATCTTTTAATTTTTTAAATAGTAGCCATCCTAAAGGGAGTGAGTTTATCAGTGGTTAATATTTGTAAAGTGTAATATGGTTATTTTAGCTCTTTTCTATCCAAAGTGACATGAATTACATACAATTTTATTGCTCGGTAGATTTTATGGGTGTAAGCTTGATTAGGCAAGGCCCTAGTAGAAAGGAGAATTATGAATTTGATAGCTTCCAAACCAAGACCTGATGCAAAGATCATTAATTCAGGAGAGA